CTATGCAGTTGTGGCTACTGTTGCACCTCTAGTTGAGGAAGCAACAGCCCCTCAAAAAAGTAATTAGATAAGGCAAAGTGATTTGGTACCTAATCCATACTGGATATGTTGGCTTATTTGTTTCTTAGCCAGTTTGATTAACAAAGGCCACATACCTTGTCCAAAAACAAGAGAATCGCAAACCAAGGCTTTAGAAAATAAAGAAGAAACCACCATTATTATTATTATTATTATTATTATTATTCATTGTATGCGCCTGAAGTGTGCAAAACTATATACATTTGATTTATTTTGATGGTTAAAGATGTCAGAATTTTTTCACTACGTGAGGCTTATTAATTAATTATATTTTAATATTTCACAGTATTCGAGATTAATAATATTCTAATTCGATAAATTATTTAATTAAGTCCGTTATCATGTACTATAATTTTAGTCTAATAACATCTAATTAGATTCGACAGCAATATAAGCTTTAATATGACTATAGTTTTCATGATGGATGGATTCAATGAACCAGTATAGAGTTTGACTCCGTATGTCATTTGCGCTATCATCACAAAGACTATCAATAAAACATTAGGTAGTAGAGAGAAAGACCTTAGTATCAAATTTTCTTATTTTCTTTATTTTATTTTTATATATCCATCAATTCATCGACTAGTTTGGTTTGTGCACTTCTCCTAAGACCATTTTTTTAATTTCAAGGCTCGAGTTGATACCTCTAATTATGGGAACAAACTCTTTATTACTTGAACCAACAGTTTTTTTTTTGTTATTTAATGGCCTAACAAAACACACTTATTATTAATTTGAATATTTTATAATTATATACATATTTAGATTTTTCAGATGCATTTCATTTTGATGCCATAATTAAAATAATCTGACACATTCTGAACCGCACCAATCCATTAAAACTATCACGCGATTCACCTCAAAGTCATAAAAGATAATACTAAATTAACTTTCCTACTCACTTCTTAGTTTCCATCTAGTAGGAAAGTTGGCAAAGGAGTATCCAAAGATGCTTAAATTGGACGAAGTTCGATGACCAAAACAAACAAAAATCCAACACACGGAAGGAAATCACAAAAAGCCCAAAGCACATTAGCAAAATCAGAAATCAGTCAGAAAGCATATGAAAAACAACACTTCAAATTTGTTTAATAACAACAAAGACATCAACTACAGCTGCCCATTACCTTGAGAATTAAAGGAGTGAGTACATGAACTCAGAACAAGTTTCCATATTTCTTCTATGAATCTATGTATATGTACTACTACTACCAAGTAACCTTTTCACATTACCACAGTAAATATATCAAGACAAAAGGGTAAAAAACAAAAAAAACTTTTTAGAACTATATTAAACTCAGTAATCAGAATAAGATGAAAAACTAAAAAGAGAAAAAAGAACTAAGTAACTAAGATAAGAATAGATTAATCACAAACCATGTGGAAAACAGGTATCAGCTACCTCAGGATGAAGTTTCTGTCCGGTTCTCGCCGGCTCAGATTTGCACCTTGTGAGCCCCAGAGGACGTGCGGGGTCATCTTCCCTTCTCTTCAATTCATGAACCTTTTCTGGCTCCATTATACTTTCTCTGAGTGAATCTTCAAGTTCTTTGAAAAACCGCAACTTTAGCTCCAAGTTAGGGTCTTTTCTCTCTTCTTGTTCCGTTTGCGAACTGGGTCTCTCGTTCTCAAGCTCTGTCTCTTCTTTCCTTAACGGAGAACCCCAGAACCTGCTTGCAAGAGATGAAGACCTGTAAGGTGCGGATCTGCACCTTGTCAATAACAAAGCGTTTCTCGGAGGAGTGGAAGAAGAAGAAGAGTTGGAAACAAAAGCATTGGTGTTAACTCTCTCTTCTTTATGTTCTGATTCTTCTTCGGTTTTTGATGAAGCTTCTGTGACCTTTGAGGCCTTTCTTCTTATAAAGAATCGCCAAACCGGTTTGCAGTGGCAGTGGCAGCAAGAACCGGGTTTCGGGACCCACCACCGGAGGCGGAGGTGGTGGCACTTGGTCGGAGCTCCGGCGGCGGAGCGTGTGACTCGGACTTGCCCCATGCACGTGACCTTGGGGGAAGAGGGTTCTTGGGTTTCAATGGGCGTGTTCTTCTTCTTGATGAACATGGGGCTGGTTCTTGACCTTCCCCTGCTCCTATTCCCTGCATTGCTTCTCAGGAATCTCATCAATGGTGGTGGGAACTTGTCGGTTCGACCTGGACTAGAAATGGGTTTCGTAGATAGCTTCATGTCACTGTTTTGTTCACCCTCTGCTCTGTTTCTCAGTGTTGTTTTTTCTCTTGTTTCTTTGTGTTTTTGTATTGTTGGTGGAGAAAGAGCTAAGAGAAGATATATATATTGTATCTCTTTCTTCCCTTTCTATTTTTCCCACTTTTTGTGAAATTTGGTACGCTTGACTCTTTTTTGTTATGCCAGGCTATTCAGTAAAAAGGTACTCAAGTCTCAAGGTACTCAAGTTGTCTTTGCTGAAAAAAAAAAAAAAATCTCTTTTTTATTAATATTTTGTTTCTGTGAAAAATTCTAAAGTACACTGTATTTGGTATACCCCCTTTATTAAAAATGGGTAATTTTTTTCACTTTAATCTTTGTTTTTTTTTTATATTTTTCTTTATATTGCTTCAAACTTTTCCCAAAATACAAGTTTAATACATTCGTAGTGTTAAAAAAAGGCTTTAATGTTTCTATAGTGAACATAGATAAGTTATATACCTTCGTTCTCAAAACGACGTTATTTTGGATTGAAAAATTAAAAAATTATAATTAAAAAGACTATTATAACCCTAAAATAAATTATAATTACAAAAATACTTTGATTTCCTCTTCAAAATGACATATTTTGGCTCAATGTGGATAAATTATCTACATTGACTTTAGAAAAAGCGAACCCATTAAAAAAATATACAGAAATAAAAGAGAATAAATAAGAGAAAAAAAATATAGAGGGATCCTTCTTTTAATTTATGGGTGCAACAAAAAAATGTAATATGATGGTAATATTCTCCAATATTTTTATGTGATTTGATTTTCATCTTTCTTAGGGTCGCACGGATGGATGAGTAAATCTCCTGCGAAGATTTTTTATTATGTACGTGAACTACCTCTCGAGATCACTTATTTATTTATTTCCCAGTGACATGGCTGTAGCGTACGCAATAAAATACACCTATATTTATTACCCCATATATATAGGGCAATATCATCTCACATATAACAATTTACATGGGCTCATTAGTCAAGCATCAAAGTAAGATTTTACTTCAATTTTTAATTTTTTTTTTATTAAAAATGCACATGTACTCTAATATATCTAATTCAAATTTAAATGTCCACACGATTTTTATTTTTTTAAGTATCTCTACACCGTGTAATTATGTGACTAATCTTTTTCAGGTTAAGGAACTTACTTTTACTAATAGTGCCTTTCTAGAGGGGAAATGCGGTTATTATTTAATCTTGAACGTTCATTTTGATAGATATAGATTGATGGATGGATAAATGGGTCAATTCATATCTAGAAGAAAGGAAAAGGAGGGCTGGGTGGGTGGGTGTTCTGTCACTCGAATGTTCTTTCATTAAATCAATTTCATCATTCATAAAATTACGTAGAAATGATATTTCGTGCCCCACCTTGTTCATCAGTTTGAGTTAATTCCAAAAATTGTACACAGGATGAGAGGAATTCGTGTGATGGAAGAGTCACAAGCCATTTTCATTTATGAATAGCTTTCTTCAATTTGAATTAACCACGATATTAGTTTTGCTTTTTCACGGCAACTTAATTGTTTGCATATGTTTGTAATTGTCCATGCATCTAGCCAACGAGAGCAATGCTTGCGTGTAATGATTTCCCAAAAATAGTAATTCTTAGAAGTTAGAACTTGCAAGCTCCTGCCTCCTTAAATGCAATTGATTTCCTTATTTTAATTTTTTTTTTTGTTTACGTCGTTTCCTTTTCATTAAACACATGCACAAGCTAAGCAAAAATATATGTTCCATGTCTTAGTCGTGATTTGATTTAGTAACTGCCTCTTTAGATTATTAGAGTACATTTATTTCAACATGGACTCAAATGTTTAAAAAGACTGATGTCCCTGGGAAAACAACAAATAGCCACTTGCAGCATTGCTCTTATATTTTCATTATTTAGGCACTTTTTTTGCATGTTCTTTCCTCATCAAATCCAACAAATATTTAACAAAAAATCGAAAAAGCAAGGATGACAAAGGTGATGAGGTGGCATTAGGGAAGTAAGAGGTCGCACAAGTTTGAGCAGTGGCAATGGATTACAATCATTAATAAGATTTTTATATTGGGATGAGAAGAAAAAAAAAAAAAAAACCCTGCAAAAAGTAAAACCCCCACCACGATAGCCTTAAAAAAGCCTTTCAGTAATGTCTAACCACATTGTCAACCACAGTTATGCTCGAGATTCCACTAACTTCGAAGAACCTTCAACAAGAGAACCAATAGTCAACAAGAGGATTTGTACTAAAAAAAAATAGTCAACAGGAGGATGAAGGGCACCCCTTTTTCCTGCTGGCACTCAAAAAATAGCTTGACCCTTAATCAGGAATGGCACCAAAGTCAATTGGGAATCTTTCTGTGAGTTCAGTTCGGTTCAGCCCAAAAAGTAGATCGTAAAAATATCAAACAATCCAATCTATTACTATATTATAAAATTCGAGTGTTCATAGTTAATAGTACAGCACTAACATAGGCTGCATTGCAACTGATACGTATTGAAAACATAAATAAGGGACAACTTGACATATGGTACATATAAAATTATGAACTATCAATATCCGAGTTCGAGGTGCTAAATTTTATTATTACATCTACCAAATAATATATACATATAGACACATGCATAAGCACCAACAATTAGTTTATAATCTAGAAGGAAATTGCCTACTATATTACCATTTCCTCTGTCTGCATATAAAATTGTTTATATAACTTCAGAGTCGTTTCACATGTAACATGAACAAGAATCATAATCAATAGGTCTTTTTGCCCCAACTACTGATTGCTTCGGCTCAGACTTCATATTATTGTTGTCCCAATCGTCGGTTCCCCTTGGATCAGTGAGGGCCTGAGTTTCATCATCTGAGAAACAATTTAGTAGTGAGAGATACAGCTTCAGATAATAAAACCTAGCTATGCAAAATGAATTAAAAAAATAAAAAAGTTTACAGCTTCAAGGAGATAAAGCGACATGGCATTGTCTTTAAAGAAAAATGATCAAAAATAGAGATAAGGAAAATAATATTTGTACACACACTTTTCCTCACAAACCCTTTACATTAAGATAAACCCACTCTGACCATTCAAAACAGTGGGACCAAAATGTATGTAACATTACTCTATAGAGATAGAGATAATCATGCCTGAAACTGTGGATAGTGAGAGCTCGGTAAGGTGTCTGACACATTCCTTTAGTTCCTGGAGTTCAGCTTCCTTCTCATGCAGATTAGATTGAGCCTGGTGCAGTTCAGATTCTAGCTCCATGATCTGGTTTTCCTGCTGTTTTATCAGCAAGTGGCTTAATTTCTGATTTAGTTCGGATGCCAACACTCCATGGGATTGAGAATGGTTGAAATTCCAGTCGTCTGTTCCATGACAGCCTTCATCTGGAGCTTCAAGCTGCACAACATTTTATTGATCAAACCCAAACTCAGATCATGAAGACAAAAAGTTGCTCAACCAAGTCAAATCAGACATGAAAAAAGGAGGACTACAAGCAATATTATTAAACTCGGGCTGGTTATTGACTCGGTTGAGATATTGAGTCATTGGATATTCAATCAGTGAATCACTAGTTGAACCAGGTATACATAGAAATATGTAATTACAAGGGCTAGTGGTTCCCACCCCCAAGTTGCAGTGGGAAGTGACAGAAAATTAACAAGATTTAGGCATTCTAAAAGCTTATTTCTCCAATGATATATAAATTTGATCAAATTCATCAGAGAAGACTCCTAAAATTCTGCTGCAGAGTTTAGACTGTTTTCTCTAGAAAACCAAGGTGCAAAGAAGTTGAATTCCCACGCTGGAAACAAGAGAAATAAGAGCAATAATACAATTTGAATGATTAATTAAACAGATTACTCAAAAAGAAAAGCCTAAACCAGTTTTTTTTTAAGCCTGGTGTGATGAAAAGAAAGAGAGAAATGAGAAAAAAAAAAATCTATTGCACTGTAGAATTGACAACAAACACAATCATCTCATTAAAAGCAGGGGTTGGAGACTACATAGGGTGCATATTTAATATTAAGAGTGTGAGACAACAAAAGAAAGAATACCCAAGAAGTTCACCTGGTCTAATTTTGGCCTAATTTCTTCATGGCAAGGACTATCAATAGTACACCCAGAAAGCTTTTGGAGTTCAAACTCAAGTTCTGCTTCTAGTTGATCCATTTCCAAAACCCGTGGTTCTGGTTCTTCAGTAAGAGCACTACTTCCACATTCACCACAGTCATTTACAGAAGGACTCCAAATTTTCACATCAGTGTCTCTGAGCTTGCTGTTTGTCTCCTTGAGCATTACTCCATGCCTGCCACTCATTTTGCGAGAGTTCATATCGTTATTGGCAACAGAATCTAAAATTTGATGAGCACATGATGATTTCCTTCTGTTGAGCTCAGATTTTAGTTCCTGAACAAGTTTAGCTGTCTCATCCACGGTCATGTTCAGCTTATTGATCTCAGCTTTTCCAGCTGACATCATATACATGATGCCAAAGCTAAGTCCCCAACCAAATAAGGAGTTATCTGAAGGATAGAATATGAAGCTCAACTCACTTTTCGCAGATTAAGAACAAGGGAGTTCCATATTTAAAAAGAAAAAGACCTTATTGCAAGGTCCAATAATCTTACAAAATATAAGGCAAATTAGTTTTGAAACCAAGTACTAATTTAGCTGTTATGTAAAAAGGCACATTAGTAGATGGTGCAGATCCAATAACACATGGCCAAAAGAATAGTGCACCATGTCTAGCAAACCAGCAACAATTAACAATGAAATATGAAGAGATAATGCATTGAAAATTCGCAATAGTGTGACTAAAACTACATGTTATTCTTAATATAGTTTTTCGAGGGTTAAAATCACAATGTACTAACCCCCGAGGGTAGCTCAGTTGGCAACTGAACTTCCAAGGGTTTGCTTGAGTCAAGGGTTCAAACTTTGTTCAAGCAAATTCTTGGAAAATCTTTGGGGTCACACGATGTGCCTCCCTCCTCGAGTGGAAGACTAGTCTCATCCTTCATCCGGTAGCGAAGCTCAATGCACCCGCTGTTCCAACAGGGGCTAGCCTAGATGACCGTACCCCGAGGGCAAAGTAATCGGAGGAGGTTGACTGTTGATACCTCCGGGTTATACCCAAAAAAAAAAAAAATCACAATGTACTTTAAATTAAATGAACCGTAGCTACACTCATTCAGTACTTTAGAAACAAACACACCCTTATTCGGTTTTTAATTTTAAAGCATTAAACAGAAAAATCATGACCTCTATATATCAACACCTGCCTCGGTAGCTCGTTTCTAAAGGGAAAAGATTCAAAATTCAATTGCATTGTACAAAACATATTAGAAAAATATCATTTTTACAGAGCAGAACAGAACTAGGAAAACACTAATCTAACCTTTGGAACCATGATACTTCCCAAAAATCGAAATTCTTGCAGCTACATTCTTGGTAGTTTTCCTCTTCTTCAAGCAAAGGGGTAATCTCTGCTCAACCTTTTGAACCCTAACTCCATTCTTGGAGCCTCGGGGTTTCTTAGACCGAGATTTAGCCCCAATTTGTTTCAGAGATTGGGAACTGGAAAACGTGAAGACACCGTCCTCGTCGCGTTTCTGGGAATTGTTTCCTAACCCAGATTCATAAAAAGCATAAGCATTTGGATCGTTGAGATTGTCATTCTCAACAGTGTTTCTGGGATTGAGGAAGTGCTTTGTGGCAAAACCAGTGGATCCAGCCACAGCAGCTGCTAAGAGAAACAACCACATTGAGAAAATGAAATGTGAAACAGTTGTTCACCTAACTGAGTGTTGTTTCAGTTTTCAAATCCAAGAAAAACTGTGACACACTTATATACACCTAACTGTGTCTCTGAGTGTTATTTCGTTTTGCAAATCGAACAAAAACAGAAAGAGTTGACATGTTATGTTACAACGTTGGCGTCACGTGCTTCCCGCTTCACTTAAATAATAATGATTTTTTTAATTGATTAAGTGTTTCTCAAAATGTTTGTTTTCTTTAATTATAATCATGTATATAAATGGTTGGGATTTTTTTTCTTATATTGCATAAAAAAATATAATCTTTCTATACACACCAATTTTATATGGTATTCAATTTAATTTTTTTTTTTCTCTTCCTTATTCTCTTTTTTCTTTTTCTATTGTAAGTGTAAAAAGACTATTTTTTTTCTTATGCAGTGTAAGAAAAACAATATATCAAATGACGCCAACCAATCTTGGCAGCAAAAACGCCTTTCTCATAAAGAAATTATATAATATTCATTTTTGCAAAAAGAGCATATATGTTATAATATCTTGAATATCTAGAAATACTGTAATTCTTTTAAATTGTATAAATTTCTCAAAAAGGCTTGAGCTTATCCTTTAAAATATGTGACGATTATACTTAGAGGTGACAATATGGATTGAATCCGACGGGTCAACCCTCCAACTCGTCAAAACAAGGCGTGGCGGGTGGTATATTTCAACCCACCAACTTACTTCAACTTGCCTCATTTAGTTGTGGGTCAAAATAAGTTGGTGGTGAATCGGGGCGGGTTGGCTAGAGAGTCAATTTTTTTTTACTATTGGGTAGTACTTTATTTGTTACTAAGCTTTTATGATATGAAAAAAAAATTTATCTTACTACTTCTCTAGAAAAAATAAAGAAGAAAAATTTTATTTATGACAAGGTTATCTATATATGAAGACAAAAATAAGTTTTTAAAAAATGTATGACTGAATATTAATATATATTTAGGCTTGAGATTGAAAAAAAAACTAAGGGGATTGTGAAAGGAAAATAAGTAATATTATAAAATTATATTTATTAATTTTTTTTTATTTTTTAGACGAGTTGACCCGTCAACCCATCACAAAAAGGGATGGGTTGAAATTTTCAACCCATATCAAAATGCGGGGCAAGTCAGGTCAAACTATTTTTGACAAATTAGTGATGTGGCAAGACGGGACAGGCCGGAGTGGACCGACCCATTTTGCAATCTCTAGTTATACTTAGAATTCAAAAAGTCTATAACTTCTTACAACACGTTTGATTATCATTCTAGTTATGTGGATTCAAATTTTGTGAATAGCATAAAAATGAATTGGACGGTGACGATGAAGAGTTGTTAACCAAAAAGAACTCTTCATCACTCAACAAAGGTTTTTGTTCTCCCCCTCCAAGTATTTTGGTTGGGCATCAACACTAAACTGGATTTCACCATAAAATAATAGATGTTGCTATTTCACAGCTGTTTTTTACAAGTCTAACAACATAATTTTCATCAAAAAGTCGACAGAAAAAAAATCATAAAGTAGTTATGTAACAATGAATCGAATCATAGGAAATAAATGTCATCTTTTGAGTAAGGGAAGAAAAATATGAGTTAATATTGACTACGCAAGTGCATAAATTGTATAAGTAATAAAAGTCATTAGTCAAAAGTATCGTCTCATAAAAATTGTGATAATTATATACTAAATATCAACTACTCACCCCTTAATCTTTATCCAATCGACAAAATCATTAAAAAAGCAAAAAATTAAGACTCGTTGTTTGTTTTATCCAATCAACAAATTTTAAGTCGAGGGTCCATTTATATCTTTATTTTTTAAACAGATGCATTCATTCTTTACAAGTTATCAATGAGTTGGTTTTGCTAGTTAAGGGCACTCAAATGATTATAAGCATATATTACAGTTATATAAACATATTCTTTTTATGTTGTTGTTGAATATATAAGTATATTCTATTTATCTAAAACACTATATTTCTATGCAAATTGGCCCAAGACGTATTCATTAAGAGCCTGTTTAGATCCTTTCTTTTTTAAGTTAGAAGTTACTTATAAGTTAAAGCTAAAAAAAAAAATTTTAAAAAAAGCTAAAAATTACATAAAAACACGTATTTCAAGAAAATTATCTCTCTTTATTTTTATAACTCTTCAATTTAAAAAAAACACACAATTCAAGAAAAATAGATAAGAGCTTAAAAAAAGCTCCTCTTAGGAGCTAAGAGGAGCTTTTAGTTTTCAGTTTTTTTTTTCATTATAAAAAAAAAAGAATTTTTCATTATAAGAGCTTTTCCCAAAACCTGTTTGGCCTAGTTTATGCTTATAAGTAACTTCTAACTTAAAAAAAAAAAAATCCAAACAGGGACTTAGACTAAACTTCAAATATTATAAATATTAATATGGACTTCAAGTAAGCAATAACATCGTTCCTATTTATAATCTTGCTGAAGCAATGGCCAGTGAATTAGTAAAATTTGAAGAGTAATATTAATATAAGCATTGCATTGAATTAGGAATAAATTCGACCCAATATCACAATACTGTGAAACTAATTCTTCTACTGTAACTTAAAAAACCCTCCCAACGTAATGTAACACAAATATAATAAGATTTTTCAAACAAAATTGCGCCTATAATATTTAATAAAACATACTAGACAACGCCCTGATCAATTTTGGGAAAAAATATTCCCCTAGTTGTGCTTGTATCAATATATCTTCGTCTAAACCCCAAGAGAAAACAAGACAAAATATTCAAGTGTCTATCCATAGCATCGGATAACCATCTATTGTTACATCAGTTCTATTTCTATAGGCATTATAGGCCTAAAATATCTCTGTTTGTTCTGCTGCTTTCTTCAAAGATGCCATATGTACCTGAGTCGGCTGGCTTCTAAAGTGAAATGCTCCAGAGAAGAAAGTTATTAAGTAATAACGCCACAAAACTCACGAAAACAAGTCCGGGAAGAACATTTCGGAGCAATCTGCCTGGAAAAATGAAAAAATGCAATGTCAGTTAAAACAACATCCAGATGCATATGTTTAACAGAGATAACTTTGAATATTTCTTCCTTTTGCATAGAATAGAAACTCAGTCACGGAGAATATTGAATAAAAAAGACATAGCGTACAAGACTTGTGAATATTGTCTTCAAATGCATACAATAAACAGTATTGACGAAACAAAAGACCCCAAAGAACACTGTCCTTGCAGGTGTGGGGCTAGCATTAGCATTTACATAAAATTGATGTATCATTTATGCTGCCTTGCTCCTAAGTTGGACGGCTGATAGGATACTTCATAATTAAGGTGTAAGACAACCATTGGCAAAGAGCAAGAGTCTTTTATTACAACTTGAATCCATGAAAAATGAATAGAATCTGAAAACTGTATTGATACTGAAGCTTGCTGATATTTATATCAGCATGAATACAAAGAATGTGAGTAAAAGCTAACTAACAACCCTACTAACTGAAAAAGAGTCTAAGCTAACAAACTAAAACAGAAATAACCGCTCAGATAACAAGAGTCAGTTAATACATTACATCTTGATTAAATTAAAAAATTAACTGTAACACCACCCCCCCCCCCCCCTCCTCAAGTTGGGAGGTGGATGTCAACAAGTCCCAACTTGCCAACAAGAGACCGAAAAATAGCAGGCTTCAAAGGTTTGGTGAGAGTATCTGCAAGCTGTGCTGCAGAAGGTATAGGAAGTAAACGGATTAAGCCACTTTGAACCTTTTCGCGTACCAAATGGCAATCGATCTCTATGAGCTTTGTACGTTCATGGAATGTGGGATTGTGAGCAATGTGGATGGCGGACTGATTATCACAATAGATACATGAAGCGTCCGATGGAGATAAGTGCAAATCACGTAACAAATAATGAAGCCACTGCATCTCACATGTTACAGCAACTAAGGCCCGATACTCAGCTTCGCAAGAGGACCGAGAGAAGGTAGTTTGTTTCTTGGATTTCCAAGATACTAGAGAGGAACCCAAGAAGACACAATAACCGGTGATTGAACGTCGTGTATCAACACAAGCAGCCCAGTCTGCATCAGAGAAACCAGTTGGCACGAGATTGTTATCAGCAGCCCTTTCCTGTAAAGAACCTTGGGATACACTACCCCAAAAACTAGCTCAAAGGTGGGAGTGCTCAAGGCCTTATATAAACTCCACATTAGTTTCTCATACAACCAATGTGGGACTATATATCTCAACACGCCCCCTCACACGAGAGCTCATTGGGCTTAAAGAGTGGACAATGCACAGGCCCACCTACCTGTGCGAAGAAAGAAATTCCACCGGAAAGAAAGTGGGGGACAGCGAGGTTTGAACCCGGGACACGAGGCTCTGATAACAAGAGTCAGTTAATACATTACATCTTGATTAAATTAAAAAATTAACTGTAACATCTTTATTAATGGAATTCTTAGGTTGTTCCCAGCAATCTATCAAGACGTAAATTTTCTACGTTGTTTTTTTTTCTGAAATTTACTTCCTATGTAAATAGTTACCCTTTAAAATTCTGTTTATAGTTCACCTATTTTTCCACCTTTTAAACTAAATCTCCACGAAGTTCAATAAGAGAAATTATAATCCCCATATAAAATAGCAGGGCCCAACAGAAAGGCATCATTCAGGATTCCTAATTGACCCTCCCATGCCAGGATTTGAATAGGCATTGTATCAGATATACCAAACAATCATGGAACACACCAAAAATATTTACCATATCCTGATAATCGTAATACACATCTCTGGAGTCTCTTTTCCTCACTCAGCAAGCTACATGGACTAACAGGAACTCTAATACATATTACTAATTTTACTTTTAAAGCTTAGAAATAACATGGTCATTGCGGATAGCAAAATTCAACTCGTACCCAATACCTCCAGTTTTTCCAAAAGAAAATGGAGTTATGGGCCGCTTATATGTCTATTTTACAGTTACTCTTTTCAAGCTTAATTCAAAAAATATCAAGAGGCATTAAAACAAAATTCATATTGTTCTCTAAAAATTCCAAAAAAATATGGTCATATATACATGAAATATTTCAGACATATTTCAGAATCCTGCAACTATTTATCCAGAACAAAACTTGAGTTTTTCAATGCCTACTGAAAAATGAGAAAGTGGAAGAATAAAAAATATAGATCTACTTTTTGCAAGTAGATTAACATTTTCTTTACTAAAATACTGCTAAACATTACACCTGAATCAACCATCTTATATTGCCTTAAATAAATCAAAATAAAATGGAAATGAAGTAGACTTAAGCCCAAAATATTACCCTAAAAAAGTAAATCTGGCTTCTATATTAGCACAAGAATGAGCACACTGCACATCAGGTTCTTTACACTTGAAAGAATTGAATATTAAATTCAGACTGGGAGATAGCTTAACCATGTTTTTACATGAATACCAGGAAAATGGTTCAGAAGGAACAATTTAACATTGAGTTAAGAGTATCTATTATCATTAACCTAACTATATAGTCCCTCCCGCCTCTTTCTTTTTTTCCAGGGTATAACACTAGCCTAAGCTAAGAAACAATTACATGTAACCAGCTGATCTACAAACCCTGTATGCCTACTATCGGCTCTCCATATCAGTCTGATCAGCAACCCATCATATATGATAGACAGGATGCTGACTTTGAATACTTGGGGCCAATATTTGAAAAAAGGATAGTATGGATAATAAATTGTCAGAATAGATTATTGAGAACCACCACTGGGAGTTCCTATCTTATCGCATTAAATCTATCCTATCCTTCATAAGAATGCCATAAAAAAGTATTCGGAAAACATTAAGTCACAAATATAAATTAGAATCATGCTCAGAAAACATCATCAGTGGAGTGAGTTTCAACAAAGGATCACAACATGAACTAAAGAAGGTGTCAGTATCACCATACTACATGGGAAGAAGGATTATAATCAAGTAACCTTGAGCTTAAGTTCACAAGATTTCCAGGCTTTATTTTGACATCTTTGATAAGTTAATCAGTGATTTACTCTCAGTTTACAGATCATATAAACTTGAATAACTTGAGACACATCAGTGCATACCCAAAATAAGCATTTCCACAAAATAAAGCAAACATAATGGCAATTGCTTCTTCTACCATGTCAGACAATTAAAAGCAACTCTAATTAAAATGCACAGCATTCACAAGATCAAAGAATCCCATTAAACTCAAATAAAGCAGAATAACCAGCAAGAACATTTTTTAAAATTTTTGTTTATATTAATATCACTCCATAAATCTACCTCTAATACCTTCTCGTGAATGAAGGCATCAATTACTATGAACATATTACATAATTCCTTTGTGCACGAGAACTAGAACAAACCTCAAGAGCTTGTTGACTCAAATTATATAATCAAACCCAAGATTACACTCAGACCAAACTAATTTTCATTCTACAAACAATTTCAAGTCTTATAATTTTTAAGACCCAGTCCACAATCCTAAGAACTTTCATTACATTAACACCAACGACTCCACACAAACATCACATAATACGCAAGGCAATCAAGTAATGCAAGCACACATGATGAACCCAAATTGCATATCCATAAAAGCTGTAAAATTTAACCCACATTATAAACATGCAGCAAAATCCCAACATACCCATGAATCAGAATCATTCAGGCTTAGAATTGGAGGCCATGTTTCGTCTTTCAGCCCTGGCCTTCTCGTACTCAAACTTCAACACATTGGGGATGTGAGAAGTGTCCTTCAGATAGAACCTCCTCCCAAACGCGCTCTCTTCAATAGCAGGGAAGTAAGGAAACAAAACAGTGTTAACAACCCAATACCAAACCGCACCAAGAAAAACCCCCAAAGCAGTACCCGCAACGACCTGAGCGACACTGTGGTAACCCAAATAAACCCGAGAATACATAGTCAACCAGGCGAGAGACCATGTGATAACGTTGAGGACGATGTTGTTACGGAAACCCCAGAAACCGATTCCGTTAGAAAACAAGAGGGTCAAGTAGGTGGCGAAGAAGAACATGTACTGGCAGTGGCTTGAGGGCCATCCATGTGAATCGCAGGTTTCGAGGAGAGCGCAGGTTTCGGGTCGAGCTTGTTGAACGGAGGTTTTGATGAATTCGTTGATGAACTGTGAAATGATGAGGCCTACGGCGAAGAACATTCCCTGAAGCTCGCGGCGGAAGATGAAGTGCGAGACGAAGCCGCCGAGGCTGATGAAGACCGGTACAAGGGAAACCCACGCGAGGAAGTAGCCTAGCCGGTCACCTCTCCGGTAACGGACGTGGGTTAGCGTCACGGCCTTCAGCGGCGACGGCGTTGTCGGCGTCATGGCGAGGTTGGAACTTGAAACCAAGATCTGATATCAAAAGAGTGTATGTGTTTGGAGCGGAAATGAGTGATTGACGTTGTTGACAGTGAGAATTGGAAGCTCCTCTGATTGTCTTAGATCGGCCTCACGCGTGTGCAACTTCGTCACTCCATTTTTTTTTTTTTTTTTAATGATGTGTTGTTATATTAATCAATGAGTTTGTCAAATTTATTAATGTAATATTAGTAGTATGTTATTGGATGATGTTTTAAAAATATTTTATATTAATAATATGCCAACGATTAAACTCCATGGATGTTTACTCTAAATATTATAGATGACAGGTTCTTGTGTACCTCTTAATTATATAAGTTTGGTTGTATTTAGATTTTTATATTAGTTGTTGTTTTGTTCTGAAGATAGAGATGTCTAGTTTAATGGATTAATAATTTTTTTTTATCTAAATGTTTTCTCTAAGTATCTATGGATTAGATATTCTTAAATATAACAGATTACTATGCACAAATAATAAGAAGAACGAATTTTGCTAAAAAGATAGTATGTGTATGCAGTATAATAGTAATTGAGAAAATAATCATATATATATGGATTTACCTCTTAATTATATAAGTTTGGTTTTATTTGATTTTTATATTAGTTGTATTATTTGCAAACACAAATTATACAGAGTCTTCCTATACATGCTTGCACTAATTTATTTTGAGATTAAAAAAAAAAATCTTTAAAAACTTCCCTTGAGAAAAAACATACTTTGTAAAATAATCATTTACCAAACATGCAATAATTATTAAATTGATTTAATCATTTACAATTACTTATTTATTACGATGAGTATATATATAACTAGTAAATTTAAAAATGGATTAGTCATAAATCATAGTTTAAAGTTGAGATTAAATGTAAGTAATAATATAATTAAAATTGTTTGACAATTAATTAATCACACGTAGTGAGAGAATGTGAAAACCCCTAATTTACTATAATGGTTACCTATTCTTTGTTGAATAAGGGTCTAAACTCTTTTGGAGAAGTCTTAACTAAGTTAGGACTTTGGAGACAAACACCCAACCCAGCTTCACTGGGACTTTTTAACCTGTACGATAACAAATAACATGAACAAGGTTTCAACATATAATATAAATAATGTGCCTAGCCGAGCTAGATCTTGGGAATTGTCTAGCCCTGTCAGGACTTGGAGAGTGATTTTGATTGGGAGTGGAGTAGACACCCTGAAATTATGGAGTATGCAAACTTGAAAGAAGATTTTATCCATTAGGTGTTAGGGTGCATATCATAATCAAAAGGAGAAGATATAAATGGTTTAAGAATGAATCACAAATGTGCTATTGAGTTTACCCTTGCTAGAGGCTGAGATGAATCGACCGACTGCCTATATAAATTGCTAATTATCTCTCCATGTAAATGCTGGCCAACTAGCCATGTGAATTGAGAATGGAGGCATATTGTCCTAAGTTGATGAAATGTTAATTGGTCGACCTCCAGGCCATCACATGTTGACCGGTCAACCTCTTTGTCATATGAGTAAAGCATGGAGGCGTATTACCATCCAAGTTGATGAAATGTTGATAGGTCATCCTCTTGGCCATCACATGTAGATTGGTGACCTCCTAGCCATATAATTAGAGTGTGGAGGCAAAGGTTGAAGATGGAGGACATTCAACTTGATTATAGTGTGACAACTAACTGAGGAGAGGTCCAAGATGGTGAGTTATACATTGTCACACTCCATGACCAAAGCAAATGCTCATCATTGTTCTTCATCAAGGGGGAATGCTTCTTCGGCCTTTGATATCAACAAGAGGTATTGTGTTCGTTAACTATTCAAGTTTCCAGTATTATGGAAAAAAAATTTGTCTGCTCTACTTCAGGGTTCACTATAGAAGTTGTGGATAGTTTTGCTATTTAAAAATTATAATTCAAAATTCTAGACATGAAGATTAGTAATAAATAATTTGAGAGTTAAAACATAAGATTCCAAAATCATCGAACAAAATTCAATTAAGGGAGTCAAATCTTATTGTAGAATTCGTGTTTAGTCTCATATCCCCTTATGGGTGTAAGGATATGGCACTTGAGACAGGATAAGAATTTGCCACATTTGAGGTGAGAATCAAATTTTTCAAGTCAATAGCTTAACTCCGTAAGTAGAAAAATGGAAATCAAAGTTTATCAATTCCTATAGACGATGCCAATGAATTGATGTGTATATTTGGACATGATGTGAGATTATGCTTGAGCTTCCATGGAATAAATCTAATGGTGGTGGAGACAATATACTCCTCTGTGTGATCTCGTAAAATAATATGGTGGTGTACCTGCAAGGCACTTCGACGCTTAAGTCAGTAATAACCATAACAATAATATACAAGGTAAGATTGTTACGTGTTGCTTGATGAATGAGGGTGGAGTTATTGTTCTGGACTGGCCTTCACAACACAATATTTTTGGGTCAGCCTACCTGGGCCCAATACAGGGTCACAACCTTGCTTCCTTTTAGTGAGCATATGGATCTCAATGCACATAATCACTCACTCCTTTGCACACACAATACACACAGATAATGATGCACTTCTTCACTCACTAGTGAGGTGTTGGGCAGAAGGCTCTCATCATTAGAGAATATTTTCTACCTCTATATACTTATTATCTCCACCTGAGGGGATATCTTGTATCCATTACTTTCATGAGCTATTATTTTGTCAAATTCTAGAGCCATCATGCCCTTACATATTCCCCCTTTCTCAACCATACCTGAGATAGCATTTATGATGTCTCTTCTTGAACTTTGATCTATATCACTGCTACTTTGAGATATATTTCACCCCTTTAGGGATACATATCTAATTTTAACTTCACAATAACTCGGTTATATGCAATGACTGCCCAAGAATCCCTTAACAATTTAAGGATTTTCATTTAGTAAATTGACCCCATAATAAGTAGACCTAAGCCCAAATAATATTTCCTGAACAATAATAATGGGAAAAGTGTGTGTCGTTTAAAAGATGTAAAGTTCTGTTATTTTAAGATAAAGAAATAGATAGATAAAGGAAGAGAGAGAGTTGACAAAAAAAATAAAGGTGTGAGTTCCACCTCTTTATGTGAGAGTGAAATGATTTAAGTTGTGTCATTTAAAAGGATAAACACTTTTCTCATAATAAATAGTTTCATTTGGAGATATGGTAATGAGTTAATTTGTTCTCATGTTATATAAGAGAAGATTTTTCTTCTATACACCGATCGAAATTCTAATCTCTTATTTTTTTTTTAAACTTGATTGATGCCACCGTATAATATTTGTGCATGAAAAAACATTTCTGTAACATTAGAAAATATTAATATGTCAAGTTGCTCTACAATGTGATTTTTTTTAGCGACTTTTTCATTTTCATCCTCTTGTTTCATTATTTATTAATACGCATTTAACAATTGAAAATAAAATTGATGTCAACAAGTACAGGCATGGATTGGATACCAGTAGGTTCTAAAACGTGGGACAGAAAGGACAGTTGCCACTCAATCTAACCATGCATTGACTGCTATTTAAGATAAGATGAAACCGACCTTAACTATGGCTTTGCAATCAAGAGATTCATTCAACACTCCTCGGACACGAAACAAAGAAGCAATCCTGTTCTCTTTAATTGTTTTGATTTTTTTATTTTTAAAACTGTTTTATAAAATAGTTATACGAACAGTTATTTTTTATATTTATTTAATTTTAAAAGTTAAAAATTAAAACAGAAAATAAAAATAATTCAGACATATTTTCTAAATTTGATTCTAAAAACAATAAAATAGTTATAGTTTTCAATATATTTTTTACACAACAAATTTTACCAAACGAGTTTTTTAATTTTTTTTGTTCTGAAAATTAAAAAACTATTTTTAAAAATAACAATCAAGCATAGTCTTATTTTCCATAATTTTTTTCAGAATTTTTTTCTTCGTTATTTGCCTTTACTTCTCATTTCTCTATACTCAAATTGTAAGTCATTTACCATTCCGTTACCCGATCATCATTTGTATAGCGTCTTTTATTATTTTGCAAGTTTAAAAGCATACTGTCGTCATGCGCGCGCGTGCACACACGATAAATTAAGTGAATGCCTGAATGGAGTCAATGGACACTTCCTGTTTTTAAAAACAATTTTCTAGTTTTCACAACAACAAAAACTCGTTTCGTAAGTCTGTTTTATAAAAAAATATTTTAAAACCTGTAACTATTTTTTTATTTTTAAAATCAAATTTAGAGAATATGTCTGAGTTCTTTTTATTTTTGTTTTCTGTTTTGTTTTTAACTTTCAAAACAAAAAAACACAAAAAACAACTGTTTCTATAATTGTTTTACAAAACATTTTAAGAACAAAAAAATCAAAACACAATCAAACAGCCTAAATCTCCCAATTTTATCAAATCTAAAAGCATTTGCTAAATGAAGGAAAAAAAAATAAAAAGCATTCAATTATCTAAAAACTTATAATTACTAAACTACTTTATTAATAATTTTGGTAAAAAAGAAAAGTCCTGACTATCAAGCATTTTTTCTTTTATTTATTTTTAGATTATATAAAAGTATTTCAACTTTTGCAAGTGAGAAACAAAGCTCAGTGTTGTATGTAGCTAACTGTGTCACACTCACACACGACGCGGCACAACACAAGGATACTCAGCTTCTCTACAATGGCCGATTCTGGCTTCGCTGGTAACAGAAGGGATTCTATTAAGTCCTCAGGTGCGCTTTTATTCAACACTAGGTTTTCATTTCATGCCAGTCACAAAAAAAAAAAAAAAACAGATACAAATTCTTAGGTCACTGTTTTCATTTCTAACCATAAACCTAATCTTCAGTTTCGGTTTCAGCTCCGACGATAGCAAATAATAATAAAAAAAGCAATATACACACATTTAATTTGATGAACATAGCTTAAGATTTTTCATGCTTGGCGTTTTGCATTCGGAAACTATGGTTTTTTTTTTTTTTTTTTTTTGCATTTACGGGATTTAATGGTTTGTTTTGTTTCAGTTGGGGATGCTGCTGCTAGTAGGAGGCGACAACATGCAGTGACAGTTGGAAAAGAAAGGAGGGAATCGCTGGTGCGTGCGAAAAGGCTTTGTAGGGTGGGGATTGGTGGTGGTGATGGTGATGGTCAAGTTCTTACCCTTGACAGTGAGATGATGATTGATGAAGAGCAATCCATTTTGGAGTCTCAAACTTCCTTGGCAGTGGAAAAATTGAAATCTGCCCTTACTTATCAGTAAGCTGTTCCAAACTTGTGCATTTATGTGTAGAAAATGAACAAGAATTATTGTGAACCGTTTATTTCTTGCTTTTTCTGTTTTGTTTCTCACCTTGTTATATATGGATCCAGAATAATTGGCTTTACCCTTGAACATATAAGGTGTTGTATTGTTTCTCAGCTTGTTATCTTGTTTCAATTGTCATTAACCCTGGAACTGCAATGAGAATCAAGATAAGAATTGCTTGTGATATCTTCCAATGAGGCAAGCTTGTAAACACTAAGATTGGTGTTGTATTGTTTTCCTTTTTGATCATCGTATATTGTTGTTCTCTTTAATCTTTGATCTTGTCTTGGTCAGATTTTTTATATAGACTGAGAAAAGCTTCAATTATGTCAACTGCAAGTTCACATATTGGTTAGCATTGGTATATGCATTACACAAAGTATATTTTAATTGATAGGGGGAAGGGTGCAATGCAGAAAAGAGTGGGTGCCCTTCAAGAATTAAGACGTCTGCTGTCAAGATCTGAATTTCCTCCTGTTGAGTCTGCTCTTAAAGCTGGAGCAGTACCCATACTAGTGCAGTGTCTTTCATTTGGTTCTCCAGATGAACAGGTCTAAAGATTGATATTCCTTTGCATGATGTTCAATTCATCAATTGTTTCTATGAATGTCTTGCACTCACAAAAGATTTGAGCAAGTACATCTCGTTTTGCTTGTTACACAGATCATATGGAATCAGTACTTAGGAAGAAATTTTCTTATTAATTACATTCCGTGGTGAATGTCTTCTGCAGTTACTTGAGGCAGCTTGGTGTCTTACAAATATTGCTGCAGGGAATCCAGAAGAAACAAAAGCTTTGTTGCCTGCATTACCTTTGCTTATTGCTCATCTTGGAGGTGAGTTTGAGATTCCTTTTGCATGTCAAGAAATGAATTAATTTTTCAATGAATATTTGTAAATAAGTATTAAGAGGAATTCTAATAGCCTAAATTGTTAAAGCATTGTAAGATATCTATTATCTAAAGGGAAAAATGGGATGGAGGGAACTTAGACCTACTGGCATATCATTCTTTTTCTTAAATGTCCTCCTTCCATCTACATACATGGCTTTGGTAACTGTATTCGGCACTTAATAACAAATTTGTTCTTAAAGGTTGAGACTATTTTAATAATTTTAGTATTTGTAATTACCTTTCAATTTCATGAATGGTCCTGATCTGCAGAAAAGAGCTCCTCACCTGTTTCAGAACAGTGTGCTTGGGCACTAGGAAATGTGGCTGGTGAAGGTGAAGAGTTGAGGAATATTCTGCTAATTCAAGGGGCCTTACTACCTCTTGCAAGAATGATGCTGCCAAATAGAGGTTCAACTGTCAGAACAGCTGCCTGGGCTTTGTCTAACCTAATCAAGGTTTCAAATCCATCAATTGAATGAGTTGTATGTTACATAATGTTTGTTTGAGGGGTTGACTGGTTTATATTAATTATTTAATAATCGCAGTCATTCTATATATATAACTGTATTCATACTCCATTTTCTTGTGTGATGTGGTCAGTATTTTCTGAGATGTTATGTAATCATCACTTTTGTGATTGCTTGTGAATTATGGATTTTGGGGAAGTTCATATGCGTTTGTTTGTATTCCTGCACGCTTTTATGTGTGCACGTCTGGTTGCAGTGACTTGAGTTCCTTTCTGGAAACATAACATGACTTCAGTATGTTTGAGTGTAGGGTCCAGATCCTAAAGCTGCTACAGAGCTCATTCGTGTTGATGGAGTATTTGATGCAATCATTCGACACTTGAAGAAAGCGTGAGTATTACTATAGAATTACTCGTAATATATCCTGGCCTGCTAAAATTAAGCTCTATATAAGGATTTCCCTTATCCCTACCCTCACAAGTTGGGGTTTCATGTGATTATCCTGGCCAAGAGGTTTTAACTTTTAATGCTGCTTCTCATTATTGCTTTCTGACATGCATGCTTAATATCTATAAGCTAGTTTTACTTTGCATGGATGACTTGTACTTTCTCTTTTCTTACCTTTTGTTGTTTAAATTGCTCCTACAATTAGTAGATTTCATGTATTTTTACTATTCTGTTCCTTTTTTGGTAGAAAAGCACAATTAACATTACAAAAAAAATGAAATGTTCAAACATATCAATTGTAAGGTATACGTGGGGAAACGCAATCATGTTTTTGCAACATACCAATCTACTTTGTTATATAGAAGCTTGTTGTGCTCATTTTAATTATGAAGATGTTAGGAATGCAACTTTCCTTTCTTTTTCTTTTTCTTTTCCCCCCCTTCTTTTTTAGGATGAAGATCTTTTAGTCTATTAGCAATTTCTATGGCAAAAGTTCTAATCCATTTTTAACTAACCAAATTCTCAATTATGTCTCCTTTAGTATATTACTATTTGTGTGTGAACATGCTAGGAGTTTATATTATTCAAATCACTCAAGAATATATTACATCCTACTTTAAGGTATTCTTTGTTTTGAGTGTAACCAAACTATTTCATAGTTCTTGATGAAACAAGTTTTTTTTTTTTTTTTCTGTTAGGCTTCCCTTATCATTGTCATTTTTAATTTTTTATCACCTCAGGGATGATGAATTAGCAACTGAAGTAGCATGGGTAGCTGTTTATCTATCGGCGCTTTCGAATGTAGCTACCAGCATGCTGGTGAAGAGCGACGTACTTCAATTGCTTGTAAACAGATTAGCAACATCAAACAGTTTGCAATTACTGATTCCGGTAATGATCTCCAGAACTTATAGTTGATTTGTTGTAAAATGTACCTCTCCAGAATAACACATTTTCTTGTGGTTAGCATATACTGATACACACAAATCACAATGCTTATGTTATTCACATTGATCTGTTGTTTCTAATAATAAAAGGAAATCTGTCTAGGTTTTGCGAAGTTTAGGTAATCTCATTGCTGGTGATTCCCATACAACTTATGCTGTTCTTGTACCTGGAAGTGAAATTACAGGCTAGTAAATTTTCTTTTACTTGCTAATCTAAATACATGCATTTTGATCAAACAGTATGGGTTAATTTCTTACACCTGATCATATAAATATTTTCAGATAATGCCATAGAAGTCCTGGTAAAATGTCTAAATAGTGAACACAGGGTCTTAAAAAAGGTATATATACAATTTAATCTTCTTGATTCTATCATCTAACTTTGGATCAATCTTGATATGAGCTTTGGTATCTATAAAGGAAGCAGCCTGGGTTCTGTCTAATATAGCTGCTGGTTCCATTGAGCACAAGCAGTTGATATATTCTAGTGAGGCAGTGCCTTTTCTATTGCGCCTTCTTTCTGCCGCTCCATTTGATATAAGAAAGGAAGTGGCTTATGTATTGGGCAACCTTTGTGTTGCCCCAACTAAAGGTGATGAGGAGCCAAATCTCATCGTGGTTCACCTGGTTTCACTTGTTGGAAAAGGATGCTTGCCTGGATTTATTGATTTGGTTAGATCTGCTGATATTGAAGCTGCAAGGCTAGGACTTCAGTTCATAGAGCTGGTAAGAGGTTTCAATGGTTGTATAAATAGTTACTTCGTACATTTTGGCTGGATCAAATATATTCTCGTGGTTTGATAAGAGTCAGGCTTATTAGTTTGCATAATCAATGACAAAACTCCATTTTATGGTAAAGAGAATGTCAAGTTCTTTGAGCTATAAACCCCTGGTTTTCTTGTCTCTGTAGGTCCTGCGGGGGATGCCAAATGGTGAGGGCCCAAAGCTTGTAGAACAAGAAGATGGGATTGAAGCCATGGAAAGATTTCAGTTTCATGAAAATGAAGATCTGAGAACTATGGCAAATAGTCTGGTTGACAAGTATTTCGGAGATGACTATGGGCTTGATGAGTAGTAGGTCAGAATAGCGAGATTGGCAATCGTTTTTGTCCTTGTAATGCATGTCTTGCCTCAGCTCCATGTCAAATATGGAGAAATTTAAGTTACTGACGTTGCTGAACATTCTTCATCCAAGGCCACTAGAATCTGTATCTGGTATTGAGATGTTTGATAAATCCGTCACGGGCATGTTGGTTATACTCTTTTTGGGGGTGTTTTCTTGAGTGCATTCACGATGTACTGAAAATGTAAATTTTTATTTGTGGTTCAGTTCCACTTCTCTTTAGACTATACCTGAAAAAGATACCAGTTCCCACGGATTGCCGTTTGGTCCCTGAATTTCATTTGTGTACTTAATTTTCTGTTTGGTTCAATTGAGCCTTCCTTCCATTAACCTCAACTTTGTAATGTACTCCACACATCTAACGCCTGGCCCGTTAATTGCACCTAAATCTTTGTTAAATGGTTAGCTTTTGGCTCAATTAAACCAATTATCAAAATGCATTGCACGAAACTCACATCGGAATGAGTGTGCGCAAATATGCCAGCCTAGCAATACGAGGAATGATGGGATATCCATAAAGGTTTACTGGGCGTATATGAAGGAGAATGTGATGAGTGTTCCGGGTTAAATTTAAGGAGTTTAGTAGTTAAATTTTTATTAAAAGGATTTGTTGCGTTTTATCCATTATAATTTGAGTAGAAGAGAGAAAAAGTTGGTTTTGGTTGAGCGTTTAGTCATATAGTCCAGAGAAAACAAAGAAAAAGGGTTCTTGAGTGGTGAGAATCAATACTACTATATGCTTGTTTTCATGCTCTTCCCCAACTTGCTCGTTACTCTCTTCACCCACAAACTCAATGGCATCAGTGACGTATCATTTGCGTCCGTTCAACACCCAATTGCCGCCGGTGTATGAGAGTAACGGGCAAGTTAACATAGAAAAGAGCGCGAAGCATAACCACTAATGTCACATAACAGTTAACATGAATAAATTAATTCATGCGTCATAAGCTGAGTGCGGATAGTACTAAAAATGTTCTCCTTCCTTCTTATGCCATAGGAAAATTAATTTACAATATAGAAATATGTTTCTTGAATTAGATGCTTATGCTTAGGCTTAGTAGTGATTTACGAAATTTTATTTGGAAATTAAAGTCCACGCAAAAAATCTTATTTTTAATGCCTTATTAACAAAAGGAAATTTGTTTCTGACCTATTTACTCCCATTTTCAACAAAATCATTTCCTTAAACCATTAGACACATTAATTAATGTCATTAAAAACAACATAAAAGGGCTAGTTCTCAGTATACCTGAGCAATTTATATTTCATGAATTTTTTAAACTTATATAAAGCTTTGTTTGGCTTCCCAAATAGATCAACCAAAATGCACATCTCAGGAGGGATTTAAAGCCTTAATCCTGGACCCGTCCCGAATCGGATTAGTTGCGAAGCAATGAACCGATTGGAATATTGGCAAAAAAATTAAAATAATGCATTTAAATTAAATAATTACGCATTTAATGCTGTTTTGTAAAAAATTACACATCTACTGCACAATGTGACACCACTTTTGGGCGTCACATGTGTGCTCTATATATTTCCCCACCCCCTCCATTCAATTCACACCTCTTCTCTCACTTTTCATATCTCTCTTCTCCACCAACATTCCTTTATCTTTAGTTTAGTATTTGAATTTTATTTCTTATTCTATTTAAAAATGAGCTCAAATCCTGATTCTGTTCGTGTTGTGTTATATTACAATGGTAGGAAGGTAGAAGGTCGACGAGGTGTCATCTTCGAAGGTGAAAAAAGGCCGACACGTATCCAACGCAACACAACCATTGGTGAACTGCATCAGAGAATTCGGCAGAAGTTAAGTCTTCAAGACAACCAATGTATCACTGAGATCACGACAAGGGTGTGGCAAGGTGATAAATACATTAGTTTGAAAGTGCTTGACGATGAAGACTTGGAGATGACAATGGAAGAATTTTGCAACCAGTCAAGGACAGATTTTCTAGAGTTGTATGTCGACATCGCCGCAACCGAGAATGCTCCCTTACCGGTGAGGTCAGTTTATTTAAATTCTCCCCGTCTTCCAGCTTCTCCTGCCGCTCATGCGTCTCCAGTTGGTAACTTTTCTGAGGGAGATGAAAATGATCCGACTTGGGAAATGCACAACGAAGATGACGATGACGACGATGAAAATATGGCAATGGAAGAACATCTTCTGGCGGAGGATGCTAGTGCTTCAGAAGGAGATGAATCCCGTGAGATGGGTGCGTCTCAAATCCCAATATTCCATCAACCAGTCGTCGCGCAAATGCCGCAGTTGAATGACGTTACGTCTTCCCCGTTCGGTATTCACCATGAAGGTAATTGATCCCATTTGTATATAGCTGAATAGATAACTGATTTAATACCTGAATTAGTAAGTTTGTATTAAAAAATTATAATCCGCAATTGCAGGTGACACAGATGTTATTCCTTTTTGGGAAGGAATTTCGCATTATTCCGACATTGATTGGAGTTATCAAAGCGAACAAGAATCATGTACTGATGGTTCGGTCTCTGGATCGACTTCAATACAAGGTCCGTGGCAACTAGGTGACATGTTATTTGTCAATCAAGAATTTGCGACAAAAAAAGATGTCCAAATGGCACTTAAGCACAACCTCATTAGGGAGCATCAATAAGCCATTGTAATTGAGAGCACGCCTGCAAAGTTGTCCATGAAATGTTGTGCGTATGATCAAGGTTGTCCGTGGCGTGTAAGGGCGATCAAACCGGTGTTTCGTGAAAATTGGAAGATTACGAGATGGGGTGGAAAACACGAATGTGTGAATGAGCACATTTCCCACATAGACAGCTCGATGCGGACGTTATTGCAGATCTCGTCATAGGCACGTATTTATTTACCGTATTGACATGTCAATATTTACGTACTGCCGTGTAATTAAATTCGTTCGATGTTATCGAGGCACTGATATCCTTTTCCAAGCAGGGATGATAAAGTCAGAACCATCTGTGTCAATCTCTTTGGTGCAAGAAAGGATAACTGCTAAATATGGCTTTAAAGTTTCATACAGAAAGGCGTGGTATGCGAAGCAGAAAGCGATGGCAATTATGTACGGTGATTGGGAGGAATCGTATGCTTTTTTGCCAAGGTGGTGCGAATACATGCTTCGCTTTTCTCCAGGTTCATTTTATCATATACAAACAAATGATCTTTATGCCGAGCAGAGCTTAGTTTCTGGAAAAAAAGGTTTTTCATCGCATTTTTTGGACGTTTAGACAGTGTTGTGAGGCGTTCAAATTTGCCAAACTCGTCATACAAATTGATGGAACACATTAGAAGGCGAAATTGTTGGTGGCCACAGCCCAAGATGGTAATAATGAATGTTTACCGGTCGCTTTTGCCGTCGTAGAAGGCGAAACTTTGGAAGCATGGGATTATTTTCTCGTTAATATTCATGCCCATGTTACTACCATGTCAAACATATGTTTGATATCCGATCGGCATCGAAGCATAATATCTGCTGTGGAAAATAACCCTAATTGGCAACCACCAAATGCATATCACGTCTTCTGTATTCGTCATATTGCAAGCAACTTCAATCAAAAGTTTTGGAATGAAGATTTGAAGCGGATATTAAAGAATTTAGGTATACTCATTGACACGATGCGTACTTATTTCTTTCCATTATGACTGTCAATTTATGTTTAATTCGTTCATGTCCAATTTGTGCAGGTTATACTCCAGCCATGGTTGATTTTGAAAGGAATCTTGTGAGTTTCCGTGAAAGTAGTCCTCAAATTGCTGAGTGGATTGATGTGATTCCTAAGGAAAAGTGGTCGCGAGCCTACGATATTGAATGACGGAGGTACGGTCATATGACAATAAATTTGGACATAATCAGGACAGGCTCAGCAGCAACTCTCTCACGTCTACGTCCTAATCCGCGTCCCTCCCGTCTATTACGAGGAACATCCACGATCAACTGAGGATCAGGCTGAGTCTGCACGGGGGGTGCCTCACACGAAACATTCCAATAATTCGGCCAATCTCCTCCTGGATATACTGTAGGCCAAATCGAGGAAACTCTTCCGCCGTTGTTGCATGATAAAGCATTTCAAGACCGTCAATCTGTATATTACGAAAACATGTTAGAAATGTGAAACAAATGTAAAATATGTACAAAACTCACCATGCGGCCTATCTTTGCTGCCCTCCGAGATATGTAGCACTTTCCCTTCTCTTTGTACCACTCCATGTACGCATGATTAGGTGACATCAAACCATATAATGGAGGTGGCAATACAATATGCTGAATCCTGGTATTCCATCGATCAATGTGAGCCCTCAGCTTACGTCTCCAGTTCTCTTCAACCTTCCCCCGTAGAGTATGATCATGTATCCCTCTCAACTTTCTAGATTTATTCGGGATGGGTTGATCAAGACCGAACTGTCGCATGCACTTATCCGGTTGACATGCCTCTACTGTGTGGAAGTAGATAATAGGTGTGGCAGCAAGCCACAGGTACTGCTGCTCTAGAGTCACGTCAAGTCACACATATTCGATATATGGCTGCCACACCACCTACAAACAAAATGTGAAACAATATATAGAATTACAAAAAAAAAAAAAAAAACTCAGAGAGAAATAACAACATCGTAAGTATCCAACACTTAACCTCATCTCTACAGAGTGTGTCCAATGTTGCCCGATAATGGGTGACCTCATGAGGTTTAAACTTTTCTACAGCATTAAACCTGTCAATCAGAAACATTCATTATCAATCATAATCAAGAAGTATACAGTTAGTATATACATTATCAACCATACATTATCGAAATCAAATGAAGTAAATAAATCATACCGGCATCCATAATGTGTGCCCGGCTCTGGATGAGGAGGAATGGGTGGAGCAATGGGAGGGAATCGTATCCATGCCCAAATTTGAAGGATAATATGACAACCACCCACGTCAGTTCGACGGGCATCTGTCAATTCACACAAATTCCTGAACAAGTGTGTCAAAATCGCAGATCCCCAGCTGAATCGGCCAATGTCCTCAAATCCTCCACCTAGCAACGGGACAAGCCGGCAACCAAAATTGCTACCTCCAGACTTGTCCGCTAGCAACCAAGTCCCTAACATCCGGGCAATGTGGGCTTTTGTGAAGTAGATCTCGGCAGCGTGATTCCCTCATGATCAGTCCACCGGGTATAATGTCAATCCAAGAATGAGATGCGAAGGTCGCCGGAATGATGGAACTCACCGGCCTCTGGAACATGTCCAAAAACAGCAGCACAAGCAGCGTGCCAATCCTCGGAGGTCGATCCGGTGACGACAGTGCCGTCAGTCGGCAAGCCCAATATGCCGGCCACATCTTGTAAGGTGATCGTCATCTTACCTTGGATCATGTGAAAGGTATGTGTCTCTGGTCTCCACCTCTCGACCAGAGCACTAATTAAAAATGTATCGATCTGTGATAAATTACGCAGTTATCACGTGTTAACAAATTTTATTGAATAATTACATAAATACAAAACGACGTAAATAACATACCTGGATATGTTGCATCCTGGCAGCATGTATGAAACCCGCCTGTCTGAGGTACTCTTCGGCAACCTGTGGAATAGCACCGGTAGGTGGCCCCCCTTGTGGCTTCCCACGCCTGGTCTTAATTTTTCTTACATGCTCTGTATTCCACACTCGCTGTGAAATATGAGCTTTTTGCGTCCTCTTACGAAGGACCTCCCACCTGTACGGCCCATGTATGATCCACATGCTGGGATCGGTGGGCTCTACATCCGACTCAGATCCCGATGAAGATGATGACTCAGCCATTATCCTCAACTATATAATATAAAACAACATTTAAATTAATCACATGTAATGCCCCATTTTATTTACAATTTAATTAAGCAGTGACATAATTGATTATCACAAAAATTAAGCATATGCGTCATTTATTTAACTAGAATCGAAATTTATGAAGTCCCGCCAAAACGTAGAACAGTTATTTATTTGCAATTAAATAATAATAATACATCAGAAAAAAATAATATAATACTAACTGAATACTTAACCCTAGGTCACTACCAACTTATCCAATACGTACTAATCATCACACCTAACTAACTACAAAGTTATGCACTCCCGCATTAATAACATCATACATACGAAATTTACGAAGTCCCTAACACTATTTATAAATCACTAATTAATATGCTAAACCCTAATGCATAATTAAAAATTAATAATAATAACTACGTAATAATAAAATTACTATATTTCATTAGAACATTCGTAGCATGCCACAAAATTTCTAAGTGATTATCCTAATGTTCCAAGTCTCTAATATACAATCAATCCTAACATGTATTACTAACTAGCACTGTAATTTAAATGTATACATATGAGGTATTATGACCTTACCTACGTTGGCAGAGCTTCGCTACGAACCGCGGTTAGAGAGAGGTTAGAGAGGTAAATGAGTAAGGAGTGAAAAAAGGAAAGTGAGGTATATATAGGTTGCACATGAGACGCCCCCTTTGGGCGTCACATGTGACGCCCCAATGGGGCGTCTTCCTCAAGGAAGAGACGCCTCACTGGGGCGTCACATGTGACGCCTAAAGGGGACGTCTCATTGTGCAACAGATGTGTAATTTTTTACAAAACAGCATTAAATGCGTAATTATTTAATTTAAATGCATTATTTTAATTTTTTTGCCTTGGAATATTTTCAACAAAAAAAATTGCACATCTCATTCCTTAGTGACATCAGATTTAAACACATATCTAGGAACTGTTAACTACAAAATCACAATTCTAACCTGAAGCTAAACTGTCCTGTTCCTACTAAAATTTGAGCTCATCCTCTGGGGTTGTCCAATATTGAGGTTGTAGTGTCAGACCCAACAAATTTATGGTATGACCTATGTAAAAATATGATTACATGAGCTATTCTTCTTTTTGTATATCACCAAATAATATATTACTATTCATGCCAAGTTCTGTTACGTACACGTAGGGGTGATAATAAGGCCAGGGGCCTTGGACTTGGCCTCCATCGGCATGGCCTGACTTGTCTTTTTCAGTTATTGGGCTCAGACCTGTACTAATATAAAAGGCCATTTAGTTAAAAAGCTTCAGGCTCTATATGAAATGCCTGGCCTTAAAGCCTTCAAGGCAGGCCCGTTAATAGTAATCTTCTTTTTTTACTAATTATTCAAAAGTAACTCTCTGTTCCCTCTCTCCTCAACATTTCTCACCGTCCCTGACCGAAAACGCATAACCAAATATTTCTCTCCATTTCGACTCTTCTTTGTTGGAGGCACTTCGAGTTGTCCATGAGAGAATGAAGTATAAGACTTTATCAAAGATGGCAAATGATATATTAGCAGTACCAGTCTCTACAGTTGTACCTGAATCGACATTTAGTGTTGGAGAAAGAGTCATTGATGCTTATCGAGCAAGTTTGGCTGAAAATACGGTTCAAGCATTAATTTGCAGTGCAGATTGGTTATGTAATAAGTATGTCATAAAGGAAAAACATAAAGTATTAATTTACTTAATTTAAATTTTTATATATTATGATATCATAATTGAATGTAAAAAAAAATCTGTCTTGTTTTTTGTTTTTTTGTTTTTATGTAGGAGGAGGCAACATCACAATATATTAAATTGTTGATATGAGTATGTTTATGCAAAATTTGTAGTCTTTATATTTTTTTTGGATATGCAGAATTTTGTAATACTTTAGTTTATTGGTTAAGCAGACCTTTTGAATGATTTTGGTATATATTCTCTTGTTTGTATATACTTTGAATCTATGAATCTTTGCAGAATTATTAGTGTTGTTGATTGTATATACTGTTTGGATAAATTTTTGTTGTTTTTTTTTTAAAAGGCTAACAGGCTAAACCAGACTCTTATTTTTTGTAAATAAGTCTGACCACATGCCAATGATTATATTCGTAACAGTTAACCGACAAGGTCAGACTAACATATTTAAACATAAGCTTAACCTTTTAAGATCAAAGATCGACTCGGCTCGCTAACATTCCTACGTACAGAATCTAGTATTTCACAATGGGACAAGTACATCAGGACATGAAATGTACATGTGACTTTGTTCCACACAAAAATCTGATCCATGCACTCTGTAAACAACGTAATCAATTGCAATCAATGTCTAATGCTTCAAAAAATGAAAAAGAAACAGCAATCAGGTGCTTGCAGTGGATTTTTCCTCACTTTAAGTTTACTCAAATGATTCATTGTAGTAGACCTTAGCAATCAACAATTTTTTACTCATTTGTTAAACTGCAATGAAACTTAATGCAATTTCGCGGGGGAAAAAAAGACTCTATGAGCAGAACAAAAGGTAAACGAATTTCCCAGAGCCTCTCCAAGTGCTCTGGGAACCTTTTTGCATTGTTTGCTTTCTATTTTTCCATCTTTCCTTCCCAGATTTCAGTTCCCTGACTCATTACTGTACTGGATTTTTGAGAAGTATTAATATACAAGCAGACAAGCTTTATACAGTGGTATTATCTTAGTTTTCTCCTATTTCTGTGACTAGTATATATCAATATATTAGACCTTTTTTTTATTTTATGCTCGAATAACACCACATTAGGCTTGAAAGTAAACAAAGGAGTCTCTGGCCAACCTAGTCAAAATCGGGATTTTACCTAAAATCGGAAAGAGAATAAAAAATCGTAAATCGTAAAATCGTAATACAAATCATAGATTTTACCTGCACTCTAAAATTAAATTTTTATATACATATGCTTATGTATAAATTTTTTTAAGAAAAATAGACTACATGCCACCATCCTTATATATTTGCATATAATTGTCACACTCTAAGGGTCTAAGCTAATAAATCATTCAAGTTATTATCATCGAAGACATTCTGTTCCACGTGATCTTCAACTACATCATTCAAAATTGTCTTCATCTAAACTTTCATCATGAGATAAAGTTCCTTCATTTTCTACAATTCATTCATCTTCGGATGAAACATCAGCAATGTTATATTCAACACTTTTTCTAACTTGCTTAACATCATTCCAATAGTTAAAATCGAGATTTAAATCTTAAAATCGGGACTTAAGTAAATGTCTAAATTGGGATTTTATATTGAAAAGGATTTTAAGTGAAATCTAAATCGTTTTAGCAAAAATAAATCGTTAAAATCAGGATTTTAAGATTTTAAATCCAGATTTTAACTGCCATGTCTCTCTACCTACAAACCAAGACAATGAACAACTTCTAAAGTAGAAAAAACAAGGAAATGAGTACATGCTAAAAACCTAAATTACAAGGATATCAACATCCCCCAATTTTCTACTAACGTAAACAAACCACCCACAAACAAATAACAAAAATGCAAATTCATGATGCCCTCCAATTAATCGACTACCTTTTCTATCACTTTCATAAATTTTTCAATTTTTATTTTAAAAATATCATAATTCCCTTAACCTCACAAAGACAAATAACAAAAACACACAAGACAACTTTTTTTTTTTTTAAAAAAAGAACCCTTAAATTCCTCTAACCCCAGGAAAACAATGAATACAACCACAGTAACCGTCCATTTATCTTATTATTCCATTATTCGAATCAAACAATTTTGGCTTCAATCTTAGCAGGTATAGGGATATGGATTTCTAACAGCAATGTTAAATTGTTAACTACTGAAGAGAACATAAGTAAAGGCCCACTTAATGTTATTGAAAATCTGTATCATAAAAAATTAAACCTCTCCTTTAGTTTCAACTAGTAACCTCATCTATCTATCTATGATTTGTACCTATTTATAGCAACCTCAACTGGCAAATCATTTCTGCGTTTTTGAGCACGGGAAGAAGAAGAGGAGAGCTGTATGCATAAACTGGTGTGTGAGCCTTGAAAACAAAAGTTGATGCTGAAGTCACAACCACAATAATTGGTGTCTAACTAACTAATACCTCTTCCTATATTTTGAAGTTATGAGTCCCACATCTATGGGCGATGAGAACTTGACCCAACATCTAGTTAATAAATAGGAGCAGACAAGCAGCATTAAAATTTGCCTTAAACTAATGAGTAAGGAAAACAAAGCGAGGGGTGGGAGCCGCTCGCAGCATCCCTAAGAGGTGCATGAATTTATGGAGGGGTTTATAGGCTGGCCAAGTGTTGACGCTGCTTACTTTGCAGAACTCACTTGTGCGGGCCTCCCAACCCAAACCCCACAAAGCCATTGTTAAATTATTTGTGGTAAAGTTAAATAATTCTTCGTTTGACATGTGATAATTTAAATTTTTTCTTTTGTTACATGTGTGAGTTCCGTAGATTTCTAATTTGTCGTTTTGTCCTTTTGCATAAAGTGGGGAAATATAAAACTTATATTGTATCAGCAAAATATGAGTAAATGTTTTTTTTTTCTAACAAAAAATACAGTCTACATTTTAAATTCTTACAAAACTTTTAGTCATATTAATTTTTAAAAAAATTCATATTAATTTCTCAGGATTAAAATGAATTAATTTTAAATTTTATAAGAATCATATGATTAATTTTTTTTTATAAGAAACTAAAATTAGAATTGTATTTTTTTAGAGTCATTTTTATTTCATAAAGAAATATCAAATTAAGTATCTAAAATTACTTCACTTTTAAAATAATTTTTTTAAAATTTTTAAAATGTGTTGAACAAAATTTGGTATTTCAGGAAAATGATAGGAAAGTTATTATTTAAGAATGTTGCCAAAAAATTATTTAGTAAGTTAAAATATAATTGAGATTTTATTATAAAAAAATAAAAAAATTTAACACTTAGGATTCTAAAAATATTGCTGGTATTTTTGGATAGCATTTTGAAAAAAAATTATACACAAAATTCTATCTCAGAAAAATTACATTTTTGAAAAAAAAAATTTAGAAGTTTTATAAAATTACAATAACCATTTTTCAGAAATCTCAAAAAGTAACCTATGAAATGTTTGTTTGATTTGATTGGGCTTTTATTGGGTTCACAATTCACAAAATCTTGGATCCTTTAACCAACATACCAATAGGTGCCATTGGATGTGGATTTTACCCACTTCGAACAAGATGAGAAATATTTTTCGAGAGGGTGTAACATAAATAGTAGGCTGTGGGCCGAGGGTTCTTTTTTATAATATTTTATTAGAGTCATTGTCCTTCTCTACCACTTAAATAGAGCTGTTTTAATACATAATGGTATATTAAATTAACGATATTTTTACATATATATATATATATATATATATATATATTTTTTTTTTTTTGGTACATATTTTTTTTTTATATTATTATAGGTAACAAAGTAATGCGGAGCAGGTCAATAATCATATTAAAAGGAAAAGGCTGGTTAATAAGCAATATATGCTGTGTAGAGTTCTTCAGAAAGTGGCAAACAGAAATCCATGGAGCTGTCATAGCCATGGAAGAAGATGACATTGTACCTGGCATTTTCTTTAAGCACACCTATCTCCCTGTAAGCCAAACATTTAGCATCATTGAGCCTAATTATTGGTGAAATAACAAGACTTGTTGGTGTCACGCGAACTTTTGGGTAAGTGAGGTTTTACGAATCAAAATGTTCACTCTCAACAGAGATGCTGCTTCTAATATGGGACGAGACATAAAGGAATTTGATGTTTATTTTCGCACTCAAATGATGTGGTTTTTACTTGTGAATTAGAGTAAATTTTGAAGAAACCAACTTGAAGAAAAATGTGGAGCGTGTTATAATGGGCAGGGGTGTTAAAAAAGCAATGAATTGAATGGAACCGCGAACTAAACCAAACCGTATAATATTTTTCCGAACTGATTTAAAAAACTGAATTTTTTTTTTTTTTTCAAATCACTACACGAACCAAAATTACTTTTTAAAATTGGGCCAAATCGAACTATTTTTTAGTCTGGTTCAATTTGGTATAGAAAATCGAACCATACTCACCCCTAAATCCTAATAATGAATTAAGGTATTGGAGAGATTCAATAAAACTATTAACCACGATATATAAAGTTTAAATGGAAATTACTAGAATAAAATAAAATAATTTAATATAAAATACTACAATATAACGGTAACAAAAGTAACGTTAATTTTATGAGAAAAATATTTCTGATTTTGCTACAGAAAGTATTTCTCCTACACACTCACATAAAAATGAATAGATCTCACTAACTTTTTTTCTCTCTATTTTTTTCACAACTGGACTCACTCACTTTTATGTGAGTATGACAGTGTAATATTCAAAAAAAAGATAATAATAATAATCACAATAATAATATAAAAATGATAAAGTAATAAATAATATATATATATATGCATAAAATAATAATAATAATAATAATAATAATAATAATAATGATAAAATAACATATATATACATATATATTATATATAATAAAAATAATATATATAGTCTATCAAAAAAAAATAAATATATATATATATATATAAAGTAGTGCTGTTAAAGTAAATGCAATAAGTATAATCAATAAGTATATATATAAGTAAAAAAAAAATGAAAAACAATGGATCATGATGAAGTACATCAAAGAGAATCTGGGACTGCCGTGTGGAAGCTAAATAATCAGGATATTCAGATTTTTTTTTTCTCTTAATGTAATGATTATATCATTACAATTTAGTTAGAAACTAATTGAATTAGCTTACATTGTTAAAACCTAACTAAATGCAATAATGAAAAGAGTCAAAAAAGAAGTCAATGGACTTACCTATATATATGGAATACTTAATGTAGACTAAGGAAGAAAAAAAACAAAACGTAGCAGAAGCAACTTAATCGGAGAAGAGAAAAGAAAGAATGAAGGATTTATACCGGAAGAAAAGAGAAGAAGTATAAGAAATAAAACAAAGGTAATATTGAGAGATAAAAACTTTCTCTCATCGCTCTTCTTTTTACTATTTCTTTTAAAGATTTTTTTAGTAACGTTGCTTCGCCAATTTCTTTTCTTAAAATTCTTTTCTACTTGTTGTTATTCCTACCTTTAGCTTTATTATTTAATTCTAAAATTCTTACTTTTGTTTTTATTTTTAATTTTAATTTTAAACTAGTTGATTATTTGGTACCACATAAATATTAAGAGAATGTGTAAAATTTAACTATATGTTACTGCTGTGAACTGATCCACAAAAGTTTGTGATCAGATAGTTAGGGTAAGGGGTGCCTTATCATGGTTTGAGCTCCACCATACAAATTTTTTTACATGCAGAGGCCCACAAAGTTGGGTATTTAATCAGCTTCAGTTAAATATTACACAATTTATTATACTTTGGACTAAACAAGGATCATGCACTAGTGTGTGACTGGAGAATGTCACACACACACACACACTCACACACACACATATATATATATTTTTAGTCTACTTCCTAACCTACATCATTATTTTATATTAATCCTACATCCTACGTTATTTTATATTAGTCCTACATCTTACGTCAATGTAGGATGTAGGACTACTATAAAATAATGATGTACGTTAGAAAGTAGACTATATATATATATATATATATATATATATAAATTGTACAAGTTTATGTACGAATCCACATCCATGTCTATAAAATAAAAGATATTAGTTCTAGTTAATTAATTTTCTTCACATACGTTAACACCAGCAAGTAATGTGTTACATTTTTGTTTTATTCTGCTATTCTTTTTCTTTTAGCTATGATCATCTCCAGTTTAAAAAGAAGAAGAAAAGAAAGACAACGACGATGCAAAAGTGCTAGCATAATGAAAATAAAGGAAATTAACTTTAAAGAAAAAAAATGTTTTTATTAATATTAATATTTTATACTACAATATATATAAATTTAAAAGCAAATGGATGGTAGCTTCATTGCATCTGTATTGATGGTAGCAATGATAATAGTTTTTTTTTATTATTACTACTTTTAATGTCATCACTTTTATTAAAATGAAGGATGTTACAGACAGAGAAATATTTTCTGTAGTAAAACCAGAGATGTTAAACCCTAACTTTATTTATAAATAAATCTTTTGTTAGAGATGATAAAATAAAATAAAATATATAAATTCAAAATGAAATTTTTTATTAATGTTAATTTTTAAACAAATATACTATAATTGTATATATATAAAAATACGCTCAAATTTACTCTAGTTTGAAGGAATTTATTTTTCAAATCAAATTTAACATTTTAATAATTTCAAAAAGTAAAGAATCAGAGCTAGCAACCTGATAAAATATGCACAATGGTATTTTTTATATTTATATAACAAATTTCAACATATTTATTTTTGGGTGCATACAATATATTTATTCTAATAAATTATTATTTCATACTAATAAAATTATTATTAAATGATAATCAAATAATTAATATATCTTAAAATTGTAATTGCATAAAATAATTTAAAAATCAAGTAATTTGATCGTTCGGGATTTCCTAGGCTAACCATGATGTTGAAGATCCTTTGAGGCTAGTTTGAAGCTCCTCATCCACAGGTCTTTAATGGAACAAGGTTTTGGGAGAGGGGGGATTGTGCCTGCAAGACACACACTTAAGTCAAATATTGTGTAAACATGTTTAAGTATATATGAGAGGATATTACTTGGGGCCGAATTCCCTTATTTATAGTGTGAAAGATAAGGTTTGCTTCGAGGATCATGAGAACATCCTCAACAAATTGATGAAGCGGTAAAAAACTTCCCATTTGCTGTTGATACAGGTGGCTTGAGATATAGTTGCACAGAAGGAAAAAAGCATCAACAACTATTGTTGACTTGGGAAGCCTTTTTGAAGATGTTTTCTTCATGGTGAGGGATTTATGTGTGGGCTTTTGGACCTAAATCTAATATGTCATTCCAGAACATGTGTCCCCCAGCTTAGTGTTTCAGGAATCTCCCCCCTCAATGATGACAGACCTTTTAAGGTCAATGGGAATAGATTAAAAATATATCATGGGGAACAGATGAATCGGGATAAAGTTTCTGTCCCTTTAGCTTCACCTGAAGCTTAACCTGTTCTAGTCAGGCTCGTCACGTTAAACAAGCGCTTACTGGGAGGCAACCCAGTAGCAAAATTTAAATTTCTTGTTTTAATTTTTTCTTTTAAGTTAGAGAAAAAAATTCAAAAATTTGGGGATCTGCGTGATTAAAGGGAAAACAGTCTAAGAACTGGCACTACTAGCGTCAGATCCACGCTAGTAGCGCCA